TCGGTATAACGGATTTTTGAAATTTTTGTTCTAATTGCCCAAATTATCCGCTATACCGAGACTCACTGTGTATTATTTTTATATATATATATATATAAACAAAAATTCAAAAATTCACATCCAAAAAAAAATATCCCAAAATTGATTGGTTGATATAAGGGGAATGCCATAAATCACCAAAACCTTTTTAAATGTCATCATCCTTTTAGTTTATTTATCTTAAAAGGCTACATAACTTATATATTGAAAGTTCTCATTCATAAAAAGGTTATTATTATTGTATGTATATATGGCGTCTTTTCAATAGAAAGGAACACAAATACACTTCTGGTTAATTATGTGTAACCTGCCATGGAGACTTAAATCTCATTTTAAAAAGACGCCATATGAAAATCAATATTAAGCTTTCTATATATTACTATTTAGAGAGAAAATCTAGCTAACCAATTCGGAAATTCTAATGTTGACGCTCTAACAAAGTTTGTTTTTTGTGTATTATATTTTGATTTTTGTGATTTCATGTAAAAAAAAATTACAATAAAATATAGGAGACAATGATATTACTATATATAGTTAACCTCGTTGAGTTTTTTTTAAAAAAATAATTAGTCCGATTTTTTTTTTGTATTTAAATTACTTCGGTAATCCGAGTTTATTTAACCAATCGGACACCGATCTTCAGTTTTTGAGAGTGGCTGCACAATAGTGGTCTTACCCACCGAATAAAATATCCGATCAATCGAATGTAAAAAATTCATTGATGATCAATCAGATTTACTACGAAATATTTTTTTACCTTATTTTTTAATTAGAGGTTGGCATCGCGCAAAAATTCTTTAAGCGGTTAACTTTTTATTAATCAGTTAATTTAATCACGTGAAATCTTTTAACTGGCAAATTTGAACAAATATAACCGATAGTAATAGTATGCACTATCAATCCAATTAAAAAGAAAATTTTTTCTTCGCAGTCATTGTAGTGATAATAATAATAGTAGTAGTGACAGAAGTAATTGATATTTTTTCTTTATTCGATTAATAATAATAGTTGTAGTAATTGACCTTTCCTTTGTAGTGACAATGATAATAATGATAATAATTTAAATCTTTTTTTTCTACTAGCAAATAGTCATATTAGGGTTTCTATTCGAATAAAAATAATTTAGACAAAACAAATAATTCGAATAATTCGAATAACGAATAAAACGAATAATTCGAATAAATTGGAATTAATATTAAAATTTAGTTGTATTACGAATAGAAACTCTAGTCATAAGTTCCGCCCAAAAGAAAAAAAGTAAAAGATTGATGTTTTGGTATTTTTATTTATTTCTATGTCAATAAAAACTGGTAACACCAAGATTGATATACCAACCTCTATTTTAATGGAAATATAATAATACTCTCTTTTGAAATAATAAAATAAAAAAATGGCTTAAAAACATTTTTTGTACATATACAGATGATACGGATAATCGGGATAATCATCATCATCATCATTATAATCAGGTATTTACTATTATTTGATTGCTAAGATTTTAATTCGACTGATTGTTCCGAGTGTTAACTTCTTTGACCGATTACCAAAATATTCGATTAATCAGCAGGTAAGATCACTCGCCACTGCACAAACGTCTTCGGTTTAACGGGTTTGACTATGTAATAATCACGCTTGGTTTTATGAATTCCCGCAGCAAGACATTTCATCCATTCGTTATTCAATTCAATCCGAATATTTATCTCTTGTTTTAGCGCAAACTTCTGGAATGTCCTTGGATATTTCTATGGCAGCTTTTAATTTTTCTTGATATCAGAAAGTCTATCTATCATCAGAAAATTTACTTGATATCTTTCTTTAGTTATTTGTATCTGGCGAGATTTGTATTTGAAGAGTAACATATCGAGAATAAAATATGTAGTTCATCATTGGTGGTGCTGGAAATATGCAATTAAAAAATTAGTACTAGTGTAACTTTCACTAAATAATACACTTTTTATTTTTTTAATAGCAAAAATAAAATTTAACAAAATGTCTTCAAATTGCCTTGAGGATCAAAAGTATAAAATCAAATTACATATACAAAATCATTTTTATCAACAAATTTAATAACAAATAACAACAATAATCTTATTTTTCAACTAGTGAAGATACTGTTGATGAACGTGTTCAAGAAGTTTTAGATAAAATTACAGAAACCAACAAAAGTGGAACATCTGAAGAAGATTTGGATGATGAAAAATTGTTTGAAGAATTAGAAAACGATGACTTTGATCTTGCTAATCTACGTGAAAAACGAATGGAACAATTAAAACAAGAGTATGTCATTGAAATAATAATTAATAATAATTTTATAAAAAAATTTTTTGAGAGAATAATCAACAATAATAATAGTGATAAAATGATAACAATAAAGATTATCTGATTGACGATAAAACAGAATGGAAAAACTTAAAGAAATGCGTCAAAATGATCATGGATCATATGTGGAAATTGATAATGAAAAAGAAATACTTAAAATAACTACATCAACCAATTTATGTGTAGTACATTTTTTTCATAAAGATTTTCGAAGATGTCAAATAATGGATAAACATCTCAAGGTATTTATATATTTTTCCAATAATAATAACTATTAATCGTTATTTTATTATTATTATTATTATTATTATTATTATTATTATTATTATTATTATTATTATTATTATTATTATTAATTATTATTATTATTATTATTAGATAATTGCAAATAAACATTTCAAGACAAAATTTGTAAAGATCAACGTAGAAAATTCTCCATTTTTGATTGAAAAACTTAATATACAAATCTTACCTTGCGTTATTTCTTTTATTGATGGAATTTCTGTTGATCGGTTGGCAAAAAAATGTTATTTATCTTTTACTTTATTTTTTTTTAATTTATAATTTACATATATCGCTTCTTTAGCATAATTGGATTTGAAGATCTTGGAAATACTGATTCTTTCACTACAGCTGCACTAGAATTTCGATTATCTCAATGTGGTAATATAACTTATCATCAAAACTTATATCTTTACCTATTATCTAATCAATCAATACTTTTATTAATTAATATGAATACACACTCACATTTATATTATTAGGTGCAATAAAAAACTTGGAAGTTTCAAAGAAACCAGAAAGAAAAACTATTTTTGGATTTTCGGAAAATAATAATGACGATGATGAAGATGATTATTGAAATTAATTAATGATATATTTATTTATTTATATATATATATATATATATACATATATATGATACTTGAGAAAGATTTACTGTTTTATTTTATTTTTATTATTAATATGGTTTTTTTATTAGTTTTTAACTAGAATGATTTTTCATCAAATTTTATTTTTTATAATAATATATACTTTCAAATAAAAAATTTAGAACATATAGAACTGCTTATACATTGTAACAACATGATATTCACATCATTACCATCATCAAATCATCACCATAATTTATTATTTATTGACGACAAATTATTTATTAGGCAACAAATTCGATTTATTAAACAAAAAAAAAAAAACAACACAAACTCAATTCAAATAAACAAAAATTTTAATATTCACATTAAAGTCTCTGTAATAGAATATTTTTATTTTAATTATTTTTACATCTTGAAACCTTTTACAAATAAGTAAATATCTTTAAAAAAAGGGGATGGTTTTAAAGAATATTATACAATCAAACAGAAAACATTAATGAATTATACCTACATATAGGGTGCGTATAATTCTCTTAATAAAAAATTTCAAGTGTTGTTAATCGCGATAAAGAGTAAGAAAGTACATGATGATGGCGATGATGGCGATGATGACGATGACGATGACGAGATATTAGGTTTGAATCCGAACAGTGATGCTTCATCTACTTGATCAATACTTGATCGCAATTCTAATCTAAAATGAGAAAGAAATTACGAGTCATACCTACTATAAATGTTATCATGTTCTTTTCAATAGAAAGAAAAGAACATGAACATTTCAATACAAATTAAAAAAAAATTTTTACATTTAATGCAAAAAAAAAAAAATGATAAAAAATTTTTTAAAAAAAAAGAAAAACCTTCCTTCGGGCACCGTCATTTAATGCCCGTACATTTTTTTTCTTCTTTGATTTTATTATTATTATTAATTTTTTATTATTATTATTTTGATTAATTATTGAACATTTAAATAAAAAAAATTATTATTTTTTTTGTATAGATATATATATATGTAAGTATGTATGTATGGATTTTTTTTAATAAAAAAATAAAATAAAATAAAAAATACTATTGAAATTATTTAATTTTGTTAGATTATTAAAAACAACAATTTGAAAAGTTCCTAATTAAAATCGACTTAACTTATTAATATCATAAACGACCAGCCAATTCTAAGTTGCAAGAGTCTTATCGGGCACATTTCCTCCATCTCCTGGATTTCCTCCATCTCCTCCATTATTTGAGTTATTTGATTTCGTTCTTCTCCGAAATCGTCTTCCATCACCATAATATAATCGATACTGACAGAAAATACAAATCCAATCACCGTTTTTTTCCGAAAACTTAATCTTACGTCTTGAAGTATTATTATGTGCAGGTTGGATATCTACTGAACCAGAAGTAGATGACGTGTCATCCTGCTGGTGCTGCTGCTGTTGCTGATTTTGATTATGTTGATGGGGATTTTGATGAGGCGGATGCTGACTTGGGATATTTTGATTATTGTTGTTGTTGTTGTTGTTGTTGTTACCAGATTGTGATTTCTTCTTATTTTTTTTACGTCCTGCATTAGGCAACCTTTTGGGAGTAGTTGGAGGTAGTGGTGGTGGTAATACTTTAGCATACTGATTGTTATTATGCGTGCTATCTTCATTTTTAAATAATGATGATGAAGGTGCAGAACGTTTCGTTGATGTTTTTTTCTTTGAATTATTTTGTGGATTTATGGTTATTACTGTAGAATGTGATTGTTGTAGAAATAATGATGAAGAAAAAGGATCGTTCTTGGAATTCATCGTTTGAATCGGTGAAACAGCAGCCAACCGCTTTGCACTTGCTGCATTAACGCTTGCTGCCGCTGCCGCTGCCGATTTTTCTGTTATTGATTTAAAGGAGAAATCAAATGTTGTTTGCGGTGGTCGCATACTATACGTTTCTTTATTAACAGATTTGTTGTCAAAACTAGAAATTGAATCATTGTTTGATATTTTATTTGTATTGTTGTCATTGTTATTGTTATTATTATTATTATTATTATTATTACGTTGAACTGACCTTCTTTCAACTCTTCTTAATGGATTTGTTCTTTCTTTCGCAGTCACATTTTTCATTACTCCACCAATTCCACTACTAGCTGTTGAACTAATTCCAACAGTCTGTAAAGCCTTTCTTTTCTTTTTATTATTGGCATTATCTAACCAATCAGTATGACCATTATCATTACTTCCATCATCATCATCTGCATCAAAATCATCATCGTCTTCAGAGTTCGTTGGTGTTGCAAATGAAAACAATGGTGATGGTGGTATGACAGGAACAGATTGTTGAGATATTGTTGATGTTGATGATGCTGATATATTATCATTCTTTGTAAAAAATTCAATATTACTTATAAAATTTTTATTAAAATTATTATCATTGTTACTATTACTATCACTATTGTTATTATTACTATCGCTATTACTACTACTACTATTGTTATTATTACTTTTATTCATACTACTAATACTATTATTATTATTAATATTAGTACTCGTGTTACTATTATTGGCATTTTTAGAATCATTATTATTTAGATTAGCATTTGACAATAAACGAGATTTGGCACGTGAAGGTAATGGACGAATTGGTCTGTAGAAGGGAAAAGTATTTGTGGCATTATGGGCAAAACCTCTGGGAGGTGAAGTTTGTAAAGAAGAAGAAGGTGTACCATTATTATTACTATTAACGTTAATTGTAGGTCCTTTAGTGGACACAGACGAGGCCAAAGTTGTATTTGATATATCACCAAACTTGATTGAGATTTTTTTGATAGATGAAGAAGACGCTAATAATTTTGGCAATATAATTTCATCGTTATTTTTATTAGAACTTTTCATATTTTTTATTGATTGATTTGTCGATACAGTTAAATAAGCATTAGAGCTACCTGTATTTATATTATTCTGCACCCCTTTTTTATTACCAGATGCAGTTGAAGATGATATTATTGATGGAGATGAAATGGTAGGCTTATTTGGTGGTTTCGTTGAAGTTGTTGTTGGTGGTGTTGTATTTGTTGTCGATTGTTGAGGAAGATAGTTAGATGGTGATCCACCAGAAATACTTTTAGGACTTATATCAAATTTGAAAGAACCAGTGAATTGAGAAAATAATAAATTAGAATTTGAAAAATGTGTGTCAGTTGGAGATGAAGTGCTAATTTGTGGAGGCCATATAGAACTTGACGGCATCGTTATTGAAGGAGTTTTTGATGGCAATTGAGGAGAAAATTTATCAAGTACTGGCGGATGTAGCTGAATTGTTACCCGTTTTTGATCTTTTTGTTGTGAATCATTGGTGGCCACATTATTGTTGTTGTTATTACTACTACTATTATTATTATTAGAAGATGACGATGACGATGAAGATGAAGATGGTGATAATGAAGATGTGGTAGATGAAGCATTGCTGGTGGTAACAGGATTACTAATATTAGTGCGAGCAGAAAGTGAAGATAGAGCTGGTGGAGGCACAGAGGTTTTTTGAGTAGAATTTTGAGAAGATGACTCGGAAAAATTACCAAAGGAAAAAGAGGTAAGTGAGGGCTTTGTGGAAAGGTTTGTGAAATTTGGCAGAAAAAAATTTTTATCTTCGATATTAGGAAAATTGAATTTAGGTGGAAAAGTAGAATCTATGTCATGTTAAAAGAAATTAATTAATTATTCTTTTTTTTAATTATATTATTAATTAATTAAATTTGACTCACCATTTTTTTCATGTTTTGTTGAGAAATCAATACTAACACTGCCAACTCCTTTAATTTTCGAAGAACTACTATTTTCGCTTTTACCATTAGTTAACACAGGAGCAGACTCAAGTTCTTCTAGCAAATCTTTAGTTGGTTTGTTTGCAAGCATTTCTCTTAAGACATCTTCAGCAATTGCAGGAGGTATTGTATACTCAGATTTGTCGGCTAAAGTAATGTTTATTTCTTTTGTAGTCTTTTTCTTTAGAGTTTCAAATGAAATAGGTTTTTTTTGAACTGATTTAGAGTTTTCGTTTTCTTCAAAAGATTTTAATAATCCATTGTCATTAGTCTTATCTTCGTCGTTGTTTTCTTTGGAATTTTTAACAATAGTTGATTGAACAACAGAAGTATTTAACTTGTTATCCAACAAAGGTGTATTATCTCTTATTGACAAATTTGCGAAGGAACTGGCTAGGGTATTGTTTGTAAAATCCATTGTTGAATTTTTAAATTTTATTCTTTTATCATCACAACTATCCATTTGACAAGTTTTTTTATAAATTTTTTTTTGTTTGAAGGATCTACTTATTTCCATTCCACAAAATAAGGGAGGTCTGACGTAAATCATATATTTTTGTGTGATGTCCTTACAAGTAGATCCCCTTTTATTATTACTAATACAAGTTCACGAACCTTTTTGTAATTATATATAAAGTGAAAAGTTCGTTATATGAAATTGCAGATCATCACGTGTATTGAATTTGGCTGCGCTATGAAAATAAACTAGTCCAAACTTGAACAATTCCTAAATTTGCACTAACTTCTGCCGATTGAACAATATAAATCAGGAAAGATGATCAACATTTATACATAATAAAATAATAAAAGTTGGGGCCTAAAAATCCTAATTCCGCCTGTGACGGTATCATTTTTTATTAACCCTCGAAAAATAATATATAATAATATATGATTCTTTTTTTTAAAAATATTATTTTAGTTGTAAAAATATAGCAATAATATATTTTTTTTTTTTTTTGATTTTTAAAGTAAATTTTTTGTAGTAAAAAAAAAATATCTATAAATCATTAATTATTGGAATGTTGAAGATTCATAAATATTTAAAAAAGAAATATAATTATTTTTTTTTGACCCATTGTTTTTTGAATAAGGGGTGATGATCTTTCGGCTGAGGCTTTTTTTCTTTTTTATTGCTAGTATGATGACGATGGTGATTATTACCATGACGAGCCAAATTAGAAGACCCAGAACCAACTTCTGTATAAACCATATTATCAGCACCTGATAAACTTTTCATATTACCAACAGATCTTTTAACTACACCACCATTGCCAATTCTCTTTTGTTGTGTATTGAAATTTCTGCTGGTGATTGAACCTGGCAAATCATCAGCATTGGATTCAACATCGTTGTCTAGTTCAGCATCTTTATCATTTGCCAATAATACTTCAGTAAGTAAAGATTTTTGTTCATCCAATGTTTTATAAACTAGATCAGCTGTTGATTCCATTCCCTCAAGTGATGTTATAACCTTAAAAGCATATCCTTGATCAATCAAAAACTGTTGACGTTTTGTTGAATAATACATTTCTTGTGTATCAGTTGATACTAATGAATAAAAGAAGGCGTTAAAACCTTCATCGTTTCTACGTTTAGCTCGAAGAATACGACCTTTTAATTAAAAAATAATAATAATAATAATAAACATTAGATGGATAATACTCCATATATATATATATTTAAATTATATATATATTTGTTCATTTACCTAAACGTTGTGCTTCTTGACGTCTGGAGCCATAATGCGAAGAAATTTGTATCAAGCACGTGGCTTCAGGTAAATCAATTGAAGTATCACCAACCTAAATGAAAATATTAATATATGTGTGTGTGTAAGAAAACAAAATTAAAAGGGCTATACAATTAATTTTACCTTTGACAAAAAAATTGTATTAATTTTGGGATCACTTTGAAATTTTCCAAGAATATATAAACGCTCTGAAGGTTTCGTTTTTCCGTGAATAAATGGAACATGTAATTGTCTTGCATATTTCTAGTAATTAATTATTATATAATTAATTAGAAAAGTATCTTATATATATACACACATATTTGTTTATTTGTACCTACTTCTAAAGCATATACATTGTCTGAAAATACTATTATTTTATCGCCACGATCTTCATGAAATTGAATTAAATATTGGCAAGCTTGGAATTTATTCGGATTCATAGCATACAATAACATTCTTTTCCGTGAGGATGCTTTAAGATATTCTGAATAAAATTCTGGAGTCATTGGACACCAAACTTCAGCACATTGAACATTTGCAATATGACCTTTTGAGGCTAAATCCATCCAATTTGCTTCATAAAGTTTAGGGCCAATCAAGAAATTCAGATCACCAATTTTTTCATCTTCACGAACTAACGTTGCTGTCAGACCAAGTTTAGTATGAGCAGCTATCTTTGTTACCACTCTTCTAAACATGTTAGCTGGTACAACGTGAACCTCATCTAATAGTATGAACCCCCATTCACGGCCTATAATAAAATCCATCATTTTACTTGCTTCATATGATCTGTTCCTTGTATTTGCTACCATACTATAGGTTGAAATGACAACACCAGCTTGACCTACAAACTATTATATATATATAATAAATAGGTAAAACATAAAATCAGTTAGTAATATATTCGAAAATAATATATATATCAATCGTATCATTGATGCCAAAAAAATAAATAAAACCTTTTCTTTTTGATCTGAAGTAAATACAGCAATTTGATTTTTTTTAATATTTGACCATTGTATAAATTGTTGTTTCCATTGCATAACTGACACTCTATAATTTTTTAATATGTATACGTGTGTGTGTGCATGTAAAGTTTTAGTATTAATTAAAAAAAAAAAGCATTTTACTTTTCCAAAAAGGAAGAAAATCACTTACGCAGAAGTGCATAGTACTAGACAACTCTTTTTAATTGTACAAGCAGCAGTGATGCCTACAAGGGTTTTGCCTGCACCACAAGGTAATACAATGATTCCAGATCTTGCACGTCTAAAAAATTAATAATTTTCGGATTATTATGTGTAAAGTAACCATTAAATTATATGAGATAATGATTAGACAAGCATGTACCCATTTCCAAACATTTTGCTTAAACATTTTTCTTGGTATGGACGAATAACGGTTATAGGTTTAAGATCAATGTCAAGTGTAGGAAGATTGGTGTCATTACGGAAATCATATTCTTCTAACATAGGATAATCTAACTCGTTACAACGACGCTTTACAGTCTATAAGTGTTAATTATCCCAATATAAATGATTAAATAAAATTAAAAAAACCTCGAGAAAAATTGATAAAATAAAAATAAAAATTACTTCAAATTTCTCAGAATTTATTTCAAATGAATGTACTTCATCTGTATCTTCGTCGTCATCATCATCTATATAAAATAAATATAAATTATATAAGTTTTTTTTTAAAATAAATTAAAATCATCATCGTTATTATGATCTACCTTTATCTATTTCGACAACAGTATTAAATATTCCATCATCGTCATTTTTTGCATCATTTTCATTATTATTTACGTTCTTGTTTTCAGGATTGTCCTGTTTTTTATTAGCTCCGGGAATCACTAAATCTTTTCCAGTTGGAGCTTTATCTTTTAAAAATTCATCATTAGATCCATCATTATTCATAATTCTAGCCTCTGAAATTATAGGATCTTGTAACAATTTTTGTAAAATGTCTGGATAAGATGATTCCACAAAGTATCGATTATGTTTTAATACAAGTTTTACTTTTCCATATGATAATGTACAGGCTTTAATTAAATCGATAATGCTTTCTGGTATTTCAATCTTAGTATTCAGTTAATTAAAAAATCATTTATTATTAATCAATTTAATAATTTTAATAATATAGCAATGGATATATTTTTAATGTATGCATTTAAATAAATTACCTTTGATAAAAGGTTAAGAACATCTATTATGTTATTGGTTTCTAATCCAACAGATACTGCTGCATATAAAGAGTAAGGGGTCAATTTATATTCATGAATATGTGATGGTCTAAAAAAAATTTTTTATTGGTTAATCAAATTTAAAAAATTTAGCGTTTGAAAAAAAAAAAATACTATATCGATGAATTTATTACTACCTGCTAACAGGTTCACTAATAGTTATAAGGAAATCTTGAGCTTTTTCTGTAAAAGGAGAAAAACCTTCAAGAATTATATGACCATTTACAGGATTTATCCATAAAGGTCTGTTTGTATGATCTTTTTTTAATTTGATATATGAAAAATCGTCTTTTCCAAAAAAACGAGAAATTGAATCATGAGGTGCTTCTCTAGTTTCTGAGCTTGCAAATGAATTCGGATCCAAAGCTGCAATCTTTGGGACCATTTCTTCATTATTTAATATTTTTTAATAAGAAAATATTTATTAATATTTTAATATCAAGAAAATTTTATATTTTTAAAAGTAACTTGATAGTGAAAATATACTGGTAATGATTTCATCCTCATCTTCAGAGTGGTCAGTCGGCGTAGCCGAAACTGTTGCATTTTTTGATTGTTTGCGAACCTTTTTGATTGGATTTAAACTGATTGAAGAGTTGGTATACTCGCCATCTATATAATTTATTTGTTAATATTTATTTACAAAAGGAAATTTTTATATTATATTTTTAGAAAAAAGATCAAGGAAAAGAAACATGAAAGTGATCAATTCTATATTTTTTCTTTTTAAATACAACTATATAAAACTATATAAAAACTAAATTTGAGTGAATATCTTCCTTAAGGACATACCATCCCTAATTCGTTTTTTTGAAGTTGCTGCTGCTGGTGGCATTTTTTTAAAAAATGTAGAATGTACTATAAAGACTAGTTGAAAAAAAAGATTTGGTCGATATCATTAGGGGGTCCTAGTTCTGTGTTTATATAGTAATAGGCGATCTGCGGGTAATAATAATAAGGTAATAAATTCAATAATTGTATTAATAATATCGCAAAATATAAAAATTTTCATCACGTAACTTTTATGTCCCGTTGACACAAAATGCAATATTCCCATATTATGTATCACTACAAGTATCTCATAATAAAATTAGGAAAAAGCCATAGCTAATTATTTTGTTTATTTTTTATTTTATTTTTCAAATGAATAATAATTTTTTATTTTATTAATATCAAATAATGATATACAGTTCATTCTATCTATAACTAACCTTTCGCCCCTTCCCTATATGTAATTTTTCTGCCTTTGTTCACTATAGAGTGTTTGCTAAGATATTCGTTATAGAGATATTTTACTTAGTGTTTATTATAAAGAGTGGACTGTACAAAGATTTACTATAGGTCCATTCTTTTTTTTGCAAAAGAAACCACTTCTTATAAGGCAGGCTTGACAGAAGGAGGGCAAAAACAGTACATATGTAGTTATGAAATCCGCTGTGGCAAAATAATCTATCAATTTTTTTATTGGAAAATTTTGTTATTTGCACACATTCGGATAAATAATCTATCAATTTGTTGGTTTATTTAATTTATTTTAGTAACTTGGAAAATTTTGTTGCTCGCAAAAATTTGGACAAATAATCTATCAATTGTTTGTTTATTGAAACTTGGAAAAGGTTGTTATTCGCAAACATTTGGACAACTGTCAATTGTTTGTTTATTGATTTATTGAAACTTGGAAAAGGTTGTTACTCGCAAACATTTGGACAAATAATCTATCAATTGTTTGTATTGGTTCATTTTAGAAAATTTGTTACTCGTAAATCTTTGGACAAATGATCTATCAATTGTTTGTATTGGTTTATTTTAGAAAATTTTGTTACTCGTAAATCTTTGGATAAAATTGTTTGTTCTATTGCTTTATTTTAATACTGACCTTTTGATTAAAAATAATCTATTTGATTTGTTTGTTTTATTATTTTATTTTATCCATTTTTGGTAATTAGATAAATTTCATAAATTTATATGTCATGTGAATCCGCTGTGATGCCGTAGAAAGACCTAGAGGTTGGAATCGCCCAAAAAATCCTTAATCGACTACTAGTTGCTCAAAATTTATTTAGTTGACTATTTAGTTGACTATTTAGTTGACTATTAGTTGATTATTTGGGGCATACTGCAACAAAACCAGACAAAGTGAACCAAGAATTTCAGGGATCAAAATTTAGTCATTTGTTAAGTGATATATAGAATTGCCCATATATAAAAACAACAATATGAAGCTAATTTACATTAGGTATACCATGGAACCAAAGAATTACAGCACCATTAGAAGTATTTTGAAAAAGGAGCAAGGTAAAAAAATTGCTCCTTACATTTTCAAAATAAATGACACTCAAACACTGGAAGCTTATCTAAGGAAAGAAAGGATTACTTATGAAATTTACCAAGAAGAAAGAAAATAATAAATGTTAAAAAAAGAAAGCATCATGATGATGCATTATTACCTAATAAAAAGCAAAAATCTTTAAAAAAAAAATAATTATCATTTTCTTTGATAGTTGGAATAAATTTCAATTTATAAGAGGAAAGCATTTCCTCAATTCTTTTTAAATTACTTTTTTATTTTCAATCAAGATCATCTTTTAGTTAGTTAAATGACCATTCTGTTGTTGTAATTGTGCTAGCTGAATTTTTAACTCATTGATCTCTTTTATTAATTCTTGATTGGTTAAACCTTTTAGTTTTTCATTTTCCATTTATAACTCCTTTATTCTATCCAAAAGCTCTTGTTTCTGTCTTTTACTTCACTCCTCAGAGGTTTTCATGAAATCATCATGGGCTTCTTGTTCTTCATAGATAGTTCATTCTGCTTCATTTAATTTCTCTTGTAAAGAATTTATTTGTCTTTCGTATATAGTAGAAGCCCTTTCCTCATGTGACAGAACAGGAAGCGATTTTTCTTTTGATTCATTATTTCTAAAGCAATATATTTACCACTAAGAGCATTAATGTTTAATTGAGTTTTAGTCTTCTGCAATCTTCACACTTAGACAATTCATCATTTTCAAATTTTTCCTTGCAGTTTCCACATTTTCAACTATGCTATGGGTTACCTTATTACGAGTTCGGATTTGGCAAACAGACTCATTCAAGCCAGGACAAAAACAACAAATTGATCCTAGATTTCACCCTTACAGTTCTAGAATTGTATAAATTAATTCTTCTTTCATAGTGACCAGCTAGTTCTGTTTCTATTTGAGCAGCCATCTCTAGTGTTCCATACCACAACCCAAAAAAGGAAACAAAATGGTTGTAAAGACGGTTGCAATCATTTTTATATGACGCAAAGGTGGTAGCAACCATCACCAAAAGTTGCAGCCCACCTTACTGTTAATTGTTTCACAAAAGGTAATAATAAAAATAAATGTTTTTTTTATTAAAGCAATTCACGATTATTTAAATAAAAAAAGAAAGATTAATTTGGAAACGTTTACGGTAAAATATAATATGGTGCGTTCCAAAATTTAAAGTTTCGATTACAAGTGACTTTGGAAATTTTAATTAAAATTATACATAAGGAATAATTCTCCTATGAGATTTATACTTCTTTGTTGTATATTCTATTAATTTTCCAGTAATTCACATAGATTCATATACATAGGCAACCCCGTTAAACCGAAGGCAATTGTGCAGTAACTTTTCTTCGGATTAACGAGGTTTTTTATAATCATTAGAGTCATAAATTAATTCGGACGAACGGGGTAATAAATTTAAAAATTTAGGATTTAGAATTTCCTTTATCCATTTTCTGGCAGTGAATTGATTTGGATTCAATGATAAAAAACGATCACCCTTTTTTAGAATTTCAGAAACAGTAGATTCACCGACATTATATTTAGATGCAAGCTGATTATTTTTTATGTTTGGGTCTTTATTTTTTTCAATGGATATTTACATTTTTTGTGAAATTGTTATAGGCGTATGTTTTCTTTTTGATACCACAACTTCTTTTTCAGTAGATTTTTTCCCTCTTGTTTGCACTAGAGGAAAGACTACACTGATTATTAATTTTTGTACATGTTGTGCGTGAAAATGAAATTTATGTGAATTTGCAATTCACATATTAATATTCAAATTAATCAATCAGAATTTCATATCCGAATGCTCCACCACAAAATTTTAATTATAGATTTCAATTTCACATATTTGTATAAATTGTATATTATTATTATTGGTCCAATTTTTATTTCAGTTTATAAAAATTCGGATTAACGGGGCAATTTTACATATAAATGGCTTCAAAAAATTTAAAAATTTCTTCGGTTTACGGTTTATAAAGTTTTATTAGTGACATTCATATTAACAGGGTAATTTACATATGTTTGGCTTTGGTGTTTTAAAATTATTCATTTTAACGGGGTTTTCGGATTAACGGGGTTGCCTATGTATTTTCACCAATCTCCATACTGAATCTAAAGCAACAGGGACTGTGGCTTGTAAAATACTACATGAATAATAACAGTATTCCTTTTTTCAATCTCAGCACCTTTCCATATTGTGAGAATGCAATTTTTTTCATCTTTTGGTATTTATCATTATATTTTTTATTAGTAAACAAGCTTACAACCAAGAACGCAATGTGAGCTTTTGTTTTTCATCTATTACACAAACACAGTTGGGTTTGGGTTGCATCTTCTTTGTCGCAAAGAACAAAAAAATGGCACAACTTACAGGTGATCATGGCACGGCAAATGGTTTATTATTTTCTTGTGTTAATTAATTAATTAAATAGATAATAGTGGTGGTGGTAAATTATAATTCACATTCGTTACTCTAATTTTATGTAGGAGTGGTTTAAGGAAACAGAGAAAATAACAAATGAAAACATCATAAAACTGATCACATAACAATTATGATCCCTGAAATTCTTGGTAATACCAATATTCACTTTGTATGGTTTAGTTACAGCATGCACCATTTAGCATTAGTTGACTATTTTAGTCAATTATTTAGTGTTAGTCGATTATTTTAGTCGACTCCATTTTTGAATCTTTCACTTTTTCAAAAATACTTTACACAAAACCATGTGTTACGATTCGTTTTTTAAAGGTCTTCTGGAACCACCGCTTAAATCATCGGAATTTGAAGCCAATGAACTATTTGACCTTGTATCGGAAGTGTTTATTAGTTCATTGTTGTCATCATCATATTGATTATATTGATACTCCTCCGCATAGAAACTTTCCATTTTGAATGATAAAGCACAAAAATCATAATTGGTCAGACAATAATAATAACCAAATATATAATTCTGGTTTTTTTTGCAACACACTGTATGTATGTGTGTGCGTATATATATTATTTCTTTACCTGATCATCATGTTCTATACAGTGGCGATCATAAATAATGCAACAAAAAAATAAAATTCATTAAATCGAAATATTTTGTGAAAATTCAAAGACA